TTAATGCTCGAGGAGGGGGAAACATGGGTCAAGGAGGTGCTGCACCCAGAAATAGAGGCCGGGGTAATGGACAAGTTTACAGGAGGGTAAATATGGATGGGCGAACAGAACCGGTAAATGCTAGTTCTGGACAAGCTCTAATGCTTCTTGACCAAGAGACGTTGGATAAAAAAAGACATAGTGGGGATGATTTGTCTAATGACTCAAGGGAGAAGAAGAGAAAAGCAATGGAGGATGACAAACAAAAGGAGGCGGAGGCTGCGAGTCAGCCCCGCCAGAACCAATGAGTTGTTTGGTATGGAACTGTCGCGGGCTTGGGAACCCGGAGACAGTTCGAGAGATTCACAACATAGTGAGGCTAGAAGCGCCTGCGTTGGTCTTTGTGTGTGAGACGAAGATTGATGGGAAGAGAGTTGGTGAATTGACTACCAGGTTGGGTTTTGCTGGTTGTGTGCCCGTAAGCAGTGTAGGCTTAAGTGGCGGTTTGGCTTTGTTTTGGTCTCATGAAGTGGATGTGACGGTAAATAATGTTTCCTCACAACATATTGATGTTAAAGTTGAAAATATAGGAGGGGATAGAAAGACATGGCATTTTACTGGCTTCTATGCCAAAGCAAGGAGTGAGAGATCTATGAGTTGGGATCTGTTACGTTGGTTGCATGGTCAGTCTGATTTACCGTGGCTTTGCGCAGGAGATTTCAATGAAATTCTTGATAACTCAGAGTATTTTGGTGCAAATGAAAGGGTTGAATGGCAGATGGAAGGATTTCGGTCAGTAATTGATTATTGTCAGTTTCAGGACTTGGGGTACTCAGGGATCCCGTACACTTGGGACAATATGCAGGAGGGTGTTAACAATGTGAAAGTACGGCTGGACCGTTTTTTTGGCGGATCAAGCTTTTATACAATTATATGAGGCAATGACGGTCAAGCATATCTCTTCACCAAGGTCGGACCACTGTGTGGTTGCGACAAGGATAAGGAGATTGGTTCAGACTGAGAACTGTGGGCCAAAACCATTCAGGTACGAAGATGCATGGCAGAAGGAGGAGTCACATGATGCAGCTTTTATGGATGGTTGGGAGCAAAGGATTGTCCAGGGTGGATTAGCTGGGCTAAGCAACACACTGATACATATGCAAGACCACCTTAGTGACGGGAAAAATAAGAAGTTTGGAGACATAAAGCAGAAAATTCGAAAAGTACGTAAGGAGTTTGAAAGGGAGCGGTCTAATGCTCTGTACCGTGGGACATCTAGAAGAGAAAGGGAGTTAGCGAGGCAACTGAATGACCTTCTACACAAGGAGGAGATTATGGCGAGGCAGCGATCGAGGGTGGATTGGCTGCGAGAAGGAGATAGAAATACGTGATATTTCCAGGCCCAAGCTTCAGCCCGAAGGAGACAAAACAGAATTCATTCTTTGGTAGCAGAAGATGGGCGAGTATGTGAGTCGGTAGAAGAGATCCATGCCGAGGTACAAAACTTCTACACTGAACTTTACACGGCTCAGCCGGAGTTGGATGTTGAGGCGGTTCTTCATCATGTTCCGGCGAAAGTAGATCAACAAAGGAATGACCGTTTGCTACGGCCGTTCAGAGCAGAAGAAGTGAAGGCCGCATTGTTCTCCATGAAGCCATCAAAGGCGCCGGGGGTGGACGGGTTCACTGCGGGCTTCTTCCAACGCCACTGGCCAGTACTAAAGGAAGAGGTCACTAGTGCAGTTTTGGAGTTTCTTAACGGGGGTGTGATGCCAGAGGTTATAAACAAAACTGTGATATGTTTGATTCCGTAAATAAAATTTCCAAAGAACATTACCCAGTATAGGCCGATCTCTCTCTGCAATGTCATTTATAAAATCTGTTCTAAGGTTCTTGCGAACAAGTTAATGGAGATTCTGGATGATGTTATTTCTGAGGAGCGAAGTGCCTTTGTGCCGGGAAGGCTCATTACTGACAATGTGTTGACGGCATATGAGTGTGTTCACTCCATGAAGAGGAAAAGAGGTAAGCAAGGGTGGTGTGCGGTCAAATTGGATATGATGAAGGCATACGACCGGGTAGAGTGGGCATATCTGCAAGGGATTATGCAACAACTGGGATTTGCCGAAGACTGGATATCACTTGTTATGCGGTGTGTTACTTCGGTGAGTTTTCAAGTGAAGGTGAATGGTACGCTCCTCGCACCATTTCAGCCTTCGAGGGGCTTCCATCAAGGGGACCCCATTTCCCCATATCTTTTCTTGCTTTGTGGCAAAGGTTTATCATGTATGTTAAAGAACTATGATAGTGGATGGATTGATCGTGGAGTCCGTATGGGTCTCACAGCGCCATGGATAACGCATTTGCTTTTTGCAGACGACTGTTTGGTTTTTATGAAAGCGGATGGAAGAAGTGCAATGAGACTGAATGAGATACTGGAGGCCTATGAGTTAGGATCCGGTCAGAGGGTGAACAAGTCGAAGAGTTCAGTCTACTTCAGCCCAAACACTGGGGCGTCGATGAAAGTGGGGGTAAGAAATAATTTGCAAATACAGAGAGAAGCCCTGTCTGAGAAATATCTGGGTCTCCCTACAGCAGCAGGCAGAATCACTGAGAGACAATTTCAGCATATTGTGGAAAGCTCAAGGGGGAGAGTTCAGTGGTGGTGTCAAAAATTCATGTCAAGTGCAGCGAAGGAAGTTTTGTTAAAGTCATTGATCCAAGCTCTACCTACCTTCTCTATGAGTTGCTTCAAACTCACTAAGGGGTTGTGCAAGAAAATAACAGCCATCATGGCAGAGTTTGGGTGGGTTGGTTCACTTGACAAACAAGGAATGCATTGGCAATCTTGGGATAAAATGGCAATCCCAAAGAATAAAGGAGGATTGGGGTTTCGAGACCTACAGATCTTTAATGATGCAATGCTTGCCAAGCAAGCATGGAGGTTACTGGATAAACCACAAAGTTTATGTGCTCGTGTGCTTCGAGCTAGGTACTATGCTGATGGTGATATTTTACAAGCAAATTGCCCAAAGAGTGCATCACCAACACGGAGAGCGATTATAATCGGAAGGAATGTGCTAAAGGAGGGGCTTATCAGGAGGATTGGAAATGGACGAACTACAGAAATTTGGCATGACAGATGGTTGCCAGGAACCATCTCAATGAGACCGGTATGCAGGCTGTCCGATGACCCGGTTCAATTTGTTTCGGATCTAATGGATGGTGAAGGACAGTGGGACATGCAATTGATTCAGAGAATGTTTATACATCCGGATGTAGAAGCTATCATGAGTATACCGCGTCCGAGGAGGGAAACGGAGGACTTTTGGGCTTGGGCATGGGAGAGGTCAGGACTGTTTTCAGTTCGGTCGGCTTACCATGCGATGATGGAGAGACGAGGGACTGAGGCCGCGACACCGTCCAGCTCGACGGACGACTGTGACATATGGAAGGCATTGTGGAAGCTGCGTGTTCAGCCAAAGATCAGAGTTTTTTGGTGGAGGGTTTTAAAAAAATTTCTACCATCACATGGCGAGCTGAATAGAAGGCATATAAGAACAAACAGTGTCTGTCCGATGTGTGGCTGTGATATGGAGACGCTATTTCATGCGTTGACTGAATGCGATCATGCTTGCAGATATTGGGAGGCAGCAGAGGAGTGGTTTGATTTTAAACTACCCAAGTTACATCCATTAACATGGGCAAGGGACTTACTGGACGGGCATGTTGTGAGCAGAGATAAGAGTGCTATAGCTATATCGGTGATGTGGGCAATCTGGATGAGTAGAAATAAGTACGCACATGAAGAGATCAAGTACCAACCTCTCCGATCTATGGAGATTATTGACGAGTTTATAAAATCTTTGGATTTCCCAGCCCCAGCACCGGTGACTAACTCTTTCATTATACTGACGGAGGAGGAAGGTTGGACGAAAATCAATACTGACGGAGCAGTTTGTAAGCAAAGAAGAGTGGGAGGAGCGACAGCAGTAGCACGGGACCATTCGGGGTCTTTCATTTGTGCGAGACAAACAAAGTATGATGAGCTGACTGATCCTTTGGTGTTAGAGCTGACCGCATGTTGGGATGCAATGCTTTTGGCATTGACAAGAAATCTGCAGAGGATTGTGGTGGAAACGGACTGTCAGACAATTTGTAATCTATGGAAGGCAGAGGAGGACAGGTCTGTTGGATCTCTGATGATCCGTGAGATGAAATCATATCTCACAAATTTGCAGGAATTTAGACTGAACTTTGTTCGTAGAAGTGCTAATATCCCTGCTCATCTTTGTGCTAGGGGGCATTAGTTTTGACTGATCAGTCTGTTGATCATGATGTAATTCCTGAATTCCTGATTGCGGCTGTGCAATCAGATTATGTTCCGCCTAGTTAATAAAGTGCCAGGAGGGCGGTTCTCAAAAATAATAATATAGGATTGGTGTGTGTGCACGTCTATGATGTGCTCAAGAACTTTCTCTTCTAAAAACATCGGTTAAAAAAAACTTTCTCTTCTAAAAACAATGAATGTCAGCTTTCAGATCAGTTTGGCCAAAATACGCAACCAGCCAACCATCCGAAACTGCAATGTCAGGCGAGCGATATAGTAGCGGCCAGCTCAAACCATATCTGGAACCACTTTAGAAAAATCACGGGCACATCAAACCGCCGAACGTTTTCCTTTTACAAAGTTTCGAGCTGAACTGTCAAATGCTTCACAAGAGGAGACGGAGGAGTGCCACGTTTCTCTTTTCTCTTTCCTGCGTCCCCTTCTCCCCCGACCCCGAGCCGCGTCAAACAAAACAACCTCGTGGGAGCTCTCTCTCTCTCTCTCCTCCGCACCCGGCCTCCTCTCTCTCCTCTCCCCCTCCTCCCCGCTCGCCAATTCCTGCGCCATCATCCACCCCCCGCCCTCGCGGCCACCGGAACCCGCCGCGTCTGACGGCGAGCCCGCGGCGCCCCGCCCGCGAATCCGGGCCGCCCGCGCCCAGATCCGCCCCCCCGCGGCGCCCCCGGATGTCATGAGCCGCCCCCATTTGCCCAAAGACCACGCCTTCCCGCGCGCGAATGGGTTCTTCGACCGCCGCCTCTGCGAGATCGAGGAGGCGGACGCCGCGGCCGCCCTAGCCGCCGACCAGTCCTGGTCGGGGTCGCCGTCGCAGTCCACCTCCCCGTCGTCGGCGTCGTCGCTGCCGATGTCGTCGTGCGGCCAGTACATGCTGCACCGGGTCGGCAAGTTCGACACCCTCGCCGGCGTCGCTATCAAGTACGGAGTTGAGGTAATGCGACGGGACTACTCCTCTCTCCTCAGGGCCTCCGGCTTCTATATTAGTACTATATACATACACATTGGAATACCAGAGGGGATATAAAATAACTGTGTTTAACTTCTAGCTGTTTCAGGTAGCATATTGACGATAATAAGGTGTTTGAATGAGTTGTGTTTTTTGATTGATGCCTAGGTAGCTGACGTCAAGAGGCTGAATAGCCTCTCGACTGACCTCCAGATGTTTGCACACAAGACGCTGCGGATTCCACTCCCTGGAAGGCATCCTCCTCCACCTTTCCAGCAGAATGGTTCATACGAGTGTGATGACAGGTATACGGAATACTAGTATGTTGCTTCCCTTTTTCTTCTAGAAAGGCATTAACATGTGACTACTTTTAAACCATGCCCTTAGTGAGTTGGCAGTGCTGTTGATCAAGTGTTCAGCTTAGTGTTGTGTGTATCGATACTCTAGAATTGTTACTACATCGCTACAAGTTTTTTTCAAATCTGTATCAGGATCAAATGAGTATTCCGCGTTGGATTTTATTGGAGCACTGGTTAAGGTAGTTCTGGATACAAAATTATAGCATTAAGTGAAGCTGGAATGGGAGTATGGTCTCGTAGTCTCATGAAATAACTCCTTAGGCACTCGAAATGGAGCCAGAATTATTACCTTATTTTCTCCTAACCATGTCTCCTTTATGAAACTAAGGTTTTGCTTTTGCATGAAGCTTTTCCTTCACGAATGCATGCATGCTATAAGTCGTATCACGTAACGGGAGGAGTTGAAGTTGCAACAAAATTTCAGTAGCCAATTTATCTGTATGACGTGCCATTAATCAGTTTGGCGGTTACATAACTTCGGAATTTTGGATTCTGACTATGAATGGTTGGATGATTACATTTTTATTTTGGCAGTATTTGCCTGTGCTATAAATTGTCGTGCCCTGCAGTTTATAAATTGTCCATATTGAACATAAGTTAAGCTGACACACCAAGGGCCTTGAAGGCAGGGAAAATGGAGAAACCAGATTTTGACGAACTCTCAAACCCTCAATCTTCTTGTGCTTACACATACTGGCCACAATTTTCTCCTTTGTAACAAGGCATGTAGATTCTCGTCACTTTCTGAAATAAAGTCAACAAAAATAGCATTCACTGTGAGGATGAGGTACTTTTGGATATATTTGACTACGGCAGTGTTTTGCCCATAATCTATTACTACATGTTTTAATATTCTGTTCTACGTACTTGGGATCGCAAATGACTCTTGTTTTCTGCCTTTTAGATCTTACAACACTTCATGAACCTACTACTTGCTACGTTTCTGTTCGTATCATTACAATTTTTTGCTGGCTCTATTTTATGTATCATCAGGTATAATAGTATAATACTATTTCAGGGAATGTACTCCACGGCGTCTTCATGATGATCTATTGGAATCAGTTTTGCGAACACCAAGACACAAGGTTTCGCCAGCCATGAGCCTTTTGCAGGGATACTATGGTCTCACACCACCCCCAAAGAGGGATCCAACACAAGAAGGCACTGAGATGCCAGTATATGGAAAAGGCAAATCAATTTCCTTGGTTGACGAGCCGTGGTCTGCAGAGACACCAAGTCCCAACACGTTCATGTTTGAGCATAGGAAACCCAGAAGCCAGACAATGGGTTCTCTTGTGAATGGCGAGTCTGAGGAGAATGGAGATGGTGAAAGGCCAATAAGGAGGCGCCCAAAAGCTGACGGCGAGTTGCTACCTAGGGAGGAAAATGGCAGTGCCTTGTTGTCACGGGCGGGAAAAGGCCTCGCATTGAGGCCAAAGTCGGGCACTCGACCAGACATGAACAAGAGCCATCAGAATCTTATCGCGATGTCGGAGCCTTCGTTTGACGGCGGGCTTCAAACCGTAAAAAAATCGTCGAGCACCCCTGAGTTCCAAGAGCCAGAGAGCAACAGCAGCTCCTCGTCCATATGGTCAGCAAGCAAGTGGAGCTTGAAACCAGACGCTTTCGCCCTCCCTCTTTTTGACAGCATTCCAAAGCCAATCGCTGCTTGGAAAAACAAGGCGGCCCGAGATTAGCAGCTTTCCCCATCTCTTGGCCGCCCACCTGATTCTTTGCCTGAACTCTGGCTATATCCCATGTAAGCCCGTGGAGGAGCTTGAGCTCAGGCCGGCACCGGTCCTCCCAGCTACGAAAGCAATGCAGGAAGGACCTCGATGGCAGCCTCTGATTTGCATGGTTTGTCATGCTATATATGTTGGAGATGTTGTGGCGGGTAGAGGCGTTACTTGTCATCACATAATCTTATAGAAGATGACACAGAGCCTTGGGTATTCTTTTGTACACAATTGGAGATAATGTAGGATGAATAGGTGGGCTATATGTTGTATGTGTGATCCCATTCCCATACACTAATATAGAAAAGATTGGTCTTATTTCACGAGTTTATTCATGTGCCTTTTGGCGTGTGCTAGCTGTTCAACTATACTGTGTATCTCAAGAAAAAAGAATAAAATGCAGCTCATTTCTCTACAGTTGGGTGTTCGTAAACGTGCTGGTTCGGAGGTCCTGTCGGTGATGCGGGAATCTCCTCAAAAACCGAACATCTCATGTGAAGTTCATGCAAAATTAGGTTGAAAACATTCATAATGCGTTTCAATTTATTGATAGAAAGAAACAGTCATTGATAAAAAGAAACAGAATAAGTACATGAAAAGATACACCGCATGGCACAAACAAATACATGAGAAGGCATGGGCATATCATTTCATTGATAGAAAGAAACATAATAAGTATATGAGAAGATACAATACATGGCACGAACAAATACATGAGAAGGCATGTGCATGGTACCTGGAGCAGAGAGACAAGTGGCACTCACCCCGAGCATAGAAAAAACACAAACTAAACCCATCAAGCCTAGGGCCAGGCCGAACCGGCATGACGTCTAACATCTCTAAAGCCAACACCGTCGACGCAGCGAGGAAGCATGATAGCGTCTTCAAAAGGGGAGTGATGCTATGAGGCACCATCATCCGTCCTGAAGAACCAGACCTAAAATTTCCCCCGTTGCTTAAAGAGGAGCATAGATAAACACCATGACAACGCCTTCAAGAAGGAAAACAACACCCGCGAGCGGCGCCGCTGCTGCCATTGTGGGCCTGGCCTAAGTCCGAGCAATCCCATTGCCGCCAGATCAAGGTCCAGAGGTAAGAAAGCTAGCCTACTGGTCGAGACCACCACCTCAAGATAGGGGAGGGGGGTTGCGCTTGCCGGCATGGGGTGACACCTGGGCGTCCTCAAAAAAAGCGAGCTTTGTGACTGGCACACCATGAAGGTGGACATGGCTGGGAAGGCGACATAGTAGAGAGTGCCGATGCCGTCGGCAAAGCCAGAAGCTGAATGGGAAGGCAGGTCCGAGCTGGCGGAGGCGGAGCCGACGAGCCGAAGGCTACAAAGGACACAACAACCGGAGCGTCGAAGTCGAAACCGCACCGACAAAGAACGCTGGCAGATCATGTACGCTGAAGAACGCATGTCCATGGGCGAGAAACTGTCGTTTCTTCGAAAATAGAAAAGAGAAAAAAAACAAGAAAAACAATGGGTGCAAAGGTTTGAGACGTTCATGCGGTTGGCATGATGACCCCACAAAGAATACCGCGGACAAGAAGCATTTAGGCTTTTCTGACAAGATGACCCCACAAGTCAGCCGCCCGGATGAAGCCTCCATCACTCTCACTCATTTCCTCCCCCCAAACCCCCTCTCCGCGCCAACGAACGCCGCGCAACCCACACCTCCGCTTCACGCACTTCGCCTTCTCCCCTCCTCCTCCTCCGCCCAGTGTCCCACCTCCCGTCCCACCACCGGCGCCGATTTATATACACGGCTGGCCTACAGACATGCGCTTGCCCCACCCCACCCCCGCCTCGCCCACTCGCCCGCACCGAACCCAACCCCATGGCCATGGCCGACGACGACGACGGCCCCCTGCCCCCGCCTCCGCCGCCGCCGCCGCCTCGCCGTCCCCACAGGCAGCTCCAGCCGAGGAGGTCGCGCATTACTCTCTCCACAGCTCTCTGGCGCCCGCATTCCTAGAGCTGACGGGGGTTACCCATTCTGTGTCTGTGTCGGCGCAGGTACCAGGTGGAGGTGTTCGAGGCGGCGCTGCAGGGGAACACCATCGCGGTGCTCGACACCGGCTCCGGGAAGACCATGGTCGCCGTCCTGCTCGCGCGCCACCACGTGGGCCGCGTGCGCGCCGGGGAGGTGCCCCGCCGGATCGTCTTCTTCCTCGCGCCCACCGTGCACCTCGTCCACCAGGTGCGCTTCTGCACTCTGCAGCGACCGATTCGCGACGGCAACGTCTGCGCCATTTTTTCGCCTCGCGTTCGCAGCTTCCATGGCCCTGATCGCTGGTTGCTGTCTGGGCTCGCGCTGTAGCAAGTCGAGGTGATTCGGGAGTACACAGACCTCGACGCCGCGGAGTGCTACGGAGCTTCGGGGGTCGGCGACTGGAGTACAGACCGCTGGAACAAGGAAGTTGGGAGCAAGGAGGTAAGTGTCAGGTTTTACTCTATCCCGCGGCACGGTCATTGGTTGATCCGAATGCACACTGAATTGGTACACGTACCGTGCTCACCAAGTGCTTGATGAATGACTTGTTGACAAGGAACCAACATTGTTAGTTTCTGGGTCGTAGCAGCTTCGGATCGCATGTAGATTGAGGACATTTGTTATCGGAGTAGTATTCTTTAGCGTGAGGGCAGTCGACTAAAGCAATTTGCTGAAGGGCCGTGACTATGAAATAGCTGGGGTCTGGAGTCTGGACACAAGTCCTAATAAAAGAAAATTTCCTTTCAATGCAGTCACTGCTAAATTTGGACACTGCTTCGAATCCACATGTTCTCACAACTCTTGTAAATATGTTGCTTAAAAAAACTCTTGTAAATATGCCACTTGGTAAAGTTATCTGGATTATGTGTCTTTCTAAATTCTAATCCAGTTTTGTGGATATTCCTATGTTTTTTACCTGCCGTATTGCGCTTATTATGCGTTCTATTGACAACTTTGATTGAAAATATGAATTTTCCTGGGACAATGATCTTATTATGCGTTCTATTATGTGTTTCAGATTGCTGTTATGACGCCCCAGATATTGTTGGATGCCCTGAGGCATGCCTTTGTAACAATGAGTGCAGTGAGCCTGCTAATATTTGATGAATGCCATCGTGCCTGTGGAAACCACCCATATACACGAATAATGAAGGTAATGGGATTTTTCTTGTTTTAACAACATCTGTAGATATGCTTTGGCTTGCCTCATGCAGTTTTTTGAAAGTAAAGAAGTTTCGTAGGATAGCAGTATTTTTCATAGTTTGGCATGTCGAATTTCCTAACGGTTTATTTCTCTTTTGAGTCTGTAGGAATTTTACCTTGGTTCTCAGTGGAGGCCAGCTGTATTTGGAATGACAGCATCTCCTGTTGCTACTAAAGGCAAGAATTCTACACATGACTCGTGTGCTTCCTTTCTTTCTACCCTCTGCGATTATTCTTCAGCAAATATTTCCAGCAAACGACCGCTATTTTGGTTCTTGAAATCAGCATGTTGTATGACTGTTATGTACCATGTGTCGTGCTCTTATCTTCTCCCCCACAAGATCATACACTTGCTGAAGTGCGATACTCTGTTGTGCCAACAGTGCCCTACTGCTGTACACTATATATAAATTGCAGTTAGCTACCTGTACATTATTGCTTCCTTCTTCATCTGGATGACTGGGAACACAACTTGTACGTTTGACATGATTTTTATTGGTTTATTTCATTTTGACAAAAAGGAAAATTGTGCCTGCTATTCATCCTACCTGAAGGCACTTGCGACTCGGGACCAATTTATCAAATCAAAATTATTTTCCTGCACTAGGATGATTTGTTAGACGCTAACTTCAGTGGTGGAGAGGCAAGTTTCACTTCTAAAAATTACCGTCCTTTTCAGGCACTTGCACGGTACAAGATTGTGAAGCACACATTGGTCAACTTGAACTTACATTGGATGCAAAGGTTACCTCAGCATCCTCAACTTCTTTCACTTTGAATTTCATTGAGCCTTTGGAAATGGTTTCCATACCTTACATGCCATTCCAGGTATATATCATAAAAGATCGTAGTGAACTTGAGAGCTTTTCCCCTCCTGCAACAATTGTGCACGAATACTATGATGCTTACTCGATTGATTTCGAAGATCTGAAATCGAAGCTCCAGATATTGTATGAAGAGGTGATTTAATTTAACTATGTTTTGACTCATTCATAAGATACATCTGTAGTTTGGACTTTGGATTAGCCACACCTATAATGCGTTGTATTTCTCGCTTTGCATCTATATTACTGTACAAATGTTTATTTGTTAAAAGTTGGCATTGTTGGGCAGTATGATGCTTTGTTGGCTAGTCTGCAAGAATCGTCACCAAATAAATTTGAAGACACAAATAACATATTAGAGACATCAAGAAAGACCTTGTTCAGATACCATGAGAAGATATTTTATGGCCTAAATTATCTTGGTCCAATCATCACCGCTGAGGTATTGTATAATCTAATCATTGAGTAGCTTTACCAAATTTTTCGTAAGAGTTACAATGGTTATTGTTCTATCTGATCTAATTCGTTGACTTCACATAAGTCCCTGATTCTAACTGAAGTTATTCAAACTTTTTGGCCATGTGTAGAATATTCGCATTGGCAAATTCCTAGCCGATATACTATCACAATATCCCTTATGTTCAGCAGTTGCTGATAAGATCTTTGAATTAGCGATGATGGGCAGAAATTTTACCTAACATTAAGAAGATTAACTGCTTTGCAAGGTCATTTAATATGTTTTTAGTGTGGAGAAAATCGTGCGCATCAAGTCTCTTGTACACTTTGAGGGAAGAAATGCTGCATCACGAGCAAGTAGACTAGCGATTTAGCTACCTATATGAACCTATCATTTTCCTCTCAACGGAAAAGTATATTTCTTAGCATTATGCTGCTGTTGAGTTCGTCCCTAATCCTTGAAGGCCAAAATAATGGAGTA